CTTCATGAGAAAGCAATTCTGTGTTTCTCAGCTGCCCTTCTGAAACATTTCCATCTTGTATCACTTCTTCCCAGATGAAATGTCTTGTGTTGCTCTAAACTTACTCTGTGGATAACAGAAGCAAGCAGACTGCATACCCAGGGAGGCAGATGGTGATGATCTTGGTGAGACCAAGAATTCTTGATTAATCCTGTCCATTCCTCCCTTTCATAGGTACCACAACTCCCAGGATTTTCTTGGATCAAACCTTGTATCTCTTCCCCAAATATTGTGTATATTGGTCTAAGAGACGTGGATCCTCCTGAACAGTAAGTTGACATATTTGGCTTAAATTTAGGGCCTGTCCTAGCCAATTACGTTCCATTTGAAAGGCTGATGCTTGACTTGGTCTATTTGTAGGTCACTACAACAAACCCACTCCCTCCCCCAAATACACATTTGTTAAAAATGCTCTTTAAACTAAGGACTCCTTCCTTTATATCTCATCACAGTTTTATTTTAAAGAACTATGATATCCAGTATTTTTCCATGAGAGATATTGATCGACTTGGTATCCAGAAGGTCATGGAACAAACATTTGATCTGCTGATTGGCAAGTAAGTAACTATAACTGATGTCAGGGCAAACCCCGGTAACACACTTTACCTTGTTTCTTGAGGATAGCAGCTTTACTTTAAAAATAAAAAGCAAAAATGTACACATAATTTTAAATAGTTCAGAAAGGCAAAATTATGAAACACAGGTTATATTCTTCCTCTGGAGTTTTTGGGAGATTTCCTCTAAATCATTGCCTAGATCCTCTGTCTGATGAGTTTTTCTTTATCTCCATCTTTAATGCTTATCTTCTCAGATGAGAAGCATTATGTCTTTGTTTCAACTGTGTCATTCTTCCCAGCCTCACGACTGTTTCATCTGAGTTTTATGTTAAGCAAATCTTGGCAGTATAGAAAGATGGCAGATGAATACTAATCAAACGGTAGTTTTAAGAGTATTTTCCCCAACACCAAGTCTTTACTTCTGGGTGATTAATGTCAGCATTGTTATCTGGTAGGATGTCATTTTGTAAGCTGTTAAGAAACTTGGTTGTTAGCTTCAGCCATTGGACACTGTGGGCTATAATGAAGTTGGAAATGGAAGATGTTAATACTGCAGACCTAAAATTAAGAGTTCACTTCAGCTGCTGTTACATTCAGAGAATAATAGCAACTGTAACCTACATCAAGGCAATTTAAGTTAGACTGTATCAGAGCCCAATCTCATCTAGAAGTGAAGAAATCCCTCTATTGACAGTTACTAATATAAGAGGTTCTAATACCCAGGGTAAGCCAGAAATTTACATTGGGGTTAGTCTGCCTGAGGCATGCAGAACAAATGGCAGTATCATGCAGTGGTATGTAGGAAGTTAATATGCCAATCTCAGTAACTTCCAAGAATAGGAAGTCTGGAAATTTACTAACAGCTTTATTAACAAAGTACCAGGACTAACAGCAATAAAATCAAGGCAGCAGCAATCATAAGAAGGATGAGTATCCAAGCACAGCCAGATAAGTATTATTTTATCTTCTTCCTTTCTAGGAGACAAAGACCAATCCATCTGAGTTTTGATATTGATGCATTTGACCCTACACTGGCTCCAGCCACGGGAACTCCTGTTGTAGGAGGACTAACCTATCGAGAAGGCATGTATATTGCTGAGGAAATACACAATACAGGTATGTAGCAACCAGGTCTGCAGCCCGTTAATTATGTAAGTAAATATGCTGGAGTCTCTTGCCTGCAAAGATCTTTTCTGCTATTCTACATCATTGCAGAGTTTGTTTTTGTTTAAACTTTTGTAGCTAAAAATTATATGGCCAGGCTAAGAAAAGGATATAGTCCTTTAGAGTCATGTTTGGCCATGGCTCTTACCAAATTACGGCAAGGTAATAGTGAGTTAAAAATTGTATATTTAAACAATTAAATACAAGAATAAATTGTCAAACTGATGCAGTTCTTTGTGTCTGAGTTATCTAAAGGCAGATTAATAAGGCGAAGGCAAGGCTACAATTTGCACTTTAACATTAAGAGGTTGGTTCATTGTGAGTTGTGAATTAGGAGGTAAAGCTGATCGCTTGAAGAAATCTGCAAATTGGACAATATCTTGGGTCCTTTATGTAGGGTAGGTCTTGTACTACAGCTTGATAGATCTCTAATAAGGGGGATACAGTTAGATGAGAATGGCTGATGGAAAGAGTATTAAGATGAATTCTATGTTATCAAGACTGGCTACAAGGGGTTAGCCACTCTTTCCCAAAACTCATACTTGTTTGCAGTTTCCAATTCTGTCAGGAAGCTTCTGATTTTAAAGCTATTTCAAAATTTAAAGAACTACCAAATCATACTGCTTCAGTAACCACCTGATGGAACTAGGGTATAGACAGAGACCCCAGATTGAAAGGTTCAGGGATATAGAGAACCCTTGACTAGTTGGGATAGAAACTGACATTGAGAAATGGTCTTTTTAGCTCTACAGCCTGAGAGAACCTCAGGTAGTACAGAAAGGAAGGCAGTACCAATCTGATTCTCAGTTCCACAATCTTAGATGTTGCCAGTGGTCCTTAAGTTACCAGCCAGAGAACCTGGGAGTTTAATTCTCTGTTTTGCTTCCTAAAAACACCACTTAGAGCAGGGGTTAATAACCACTAGCACTTACATGTGGCAGCGGCCATGGCTTGTCTCTTTCTTCCCCTGCTAAAATATTGTATTCCAAAAGACACGGAGCTATGCACAGTGGCTCATTCCTGTAATCCCAGCACTTTGGGAGGCCAAGGCAGGAGGATTGCTTGACTCCAGGGGATCAAGACCAGACTGGGAAACATAGTGAGATCCTGTTTCTATAAAAAATAGCCAGGTATCCCAACTACTTGAGAGGCTGAGGTGGCTTGGGCCCGGGAGGTTGAGCTGCAGTGAGCCACGATCACGCCACTGCACTCCAGCCTGGGCAACAGAGCAACACCTTGTCTCAAAAAAAAAAAAAAAAAATTGTTATAATGCTGTTAACTAGATACATAAAGCAGTTTGCTTAAATTAATTTATAGGGTGGCAACAGTCTGGAAACATAAGTCATACATGTATTTCTTATAGTGCAAACCTTGATTACCACTTCTGGGATACGCTAAAGGTGCAGGTTTACTCAGTGGAAATCAGAGACAAATCAGGAACACGGGTCCATGTGCAGGAAATGATGGAAATGCTACAGTAATATACTTGTTCATTGCAGTTTGGCACTGTACACTTGACTATGCATTGCTAATAAGATGCTGAACGGACATGATGGCATTGAGCACATCGTGAACTATAATGTAATATCAATAAACCATTAGGTACATTCATGCATGTTTCCAGACTTTATGGCCACCCTAAATATGCTTAGATACTTGTATTCTTGAATACTAGCTTGTTCAGATCACCCTTCACCTAGAATAACTAATTAAAAAGTTAAATTCTATAGCGAAATGAGGCATTTAGAGAGATGGGCATGGTAGCAGGTCTGTACAGGTTCTTCTGGTCTAAGCTTCCCTTCCACCTGCTCCAGGCCAAAGGAACAATACTGAAAGCTTTGACACAAGTTCTCAAACCTTAGCACATGGCTCAATCTTCTCTTGATCAAGTGCAAGAGACTGGGTCAGTCTGCTGGGAGAAAAAACGTGTCAGATATGGAACCTGCCTCCAGAGCTCAGGCCTGCAAGGGTGAGAATGAAGTTTGCAGTAATAACTACACTTCAGGGCATATGGTGCGGTGCTCTAACAGATACAGATATAGCATTAGAGTTCAAAAGTAGGAATGGAGTTCTGGCTAGTGAAAAGTGGGAGACTTCCTCTGCCTTCATACTTGAATCATTTCCAGGCAGGCCTCTAGAAGGTTCCTAGTCATACTGGAGATGGCATACATTCTTCTAACAAGCAGGTTGAAAACCCCCTGACCCCACACCAAGCCTTTTCCTTTCCCAGAAAGCCTGACAATTATGCCTATTATGTTAGTTGAACAGGGATGGTTTACTTCATTATCATAAAGTTTTCTTTTAATCTACTGCAGCATAACAGTATTTTAAGTTAAATTCATGGCTAAGGCCGGGCGCGGTGGCTCAAGCCTGTAATCCCAGCACTTTGGGAGGCCAAGGCGGGTGGATCACGAGGTCAAGAGATCGAGACCATCCTGGTCAACATGGTGAAACCCCGTCTCTACTAAAAATACAAAAAATTAGCTGGGCATGGTGGCGCGTGCCTGTAATCCCAGCTACTCAGGAGGCTGAGGCAGGAGAATTGCCTGAACCCAGGAGGCGGAGGTTGCGGTGAGCCGAGATCGCGCCATTGCACTCTAGCCTGGGTAACATGAGTGAAACTTCGTCTCAAAAAAAAAAAAAAAAAATTCATGGCTAAGAGGATGAGGTGCAAGGGACTTCCTGAAAATAGGTAGTTACTAAAAAACTGACTCTTGTTTTTACCTTGGCTTGTTCTCCCTGTCCCAGTGGGATGACCCTCACTAAGTAGCAGCAAAGGAATCTGAGGTTTTGTTACACTTTGTTCTTCCAGGGTTGCTGTCAGCACTGGATCTTGTTGAAGTCAATCCTCAGTTGGCCACCTCAGAGGAAGAGGCAAAGACTACAGCTAACCTGGCAGTGGATGTGATTGCTTCAAGTTTTGGTCAGACAAGGGAAGGAGGGCACATTGTCTATGACCAACTTCCTACTCCCAGTTCACCAGATGAATCGGAAAATCAAGCACGTGTGAGAATTTAGGAGATACTGTGCACTGACATATTTCACAACGGGCATTCCAGAATTATGAGGCATTTGAGGGGACAGTTACTAAATGGTTATCTGGTCAATACTGCCTTAATGAGAATATCTGCATATTCTCACAACTGTAAAGTTTCCCCTCTGTTTTGGTGACCAATACTACTATAAATGTATTTGGTTTTTTTGGCAGTTCACAGGGTATTAATATGCTACAGTACTATGTAAATTTAAAGAAGTCATAAACAGCATTTATTACCTTGGTATATCATATTGGTCTTGTTGCTGTTCCTTCACATTTAAGTGGCTTTCCATCTTTCCTTCCCTTCTCCCACAGTCTGGCTACACAGTGCATCCCTGAACTGTTAGCCCACAGCAGCAATATGCTTATTCTATCCACATCCCTAACATCATGCATTCACAAGGTCAAACTCTGGTCCACAAACCCGTCCCTATACGAAGTTCAATGGCTGCGAAAGAATTTGTAGTAAACCAGGCCTCCCAGGATGGCGAGCTCCAGTAAGATGATGATGGAAAGCAGCAGCTTGTTGGTTGTCACTCTACAAAGAAACAAAGTGGGGAGTAGTCAGAATTTTGGATAACCTACTCTGGGGTTTGACCTGGGACCAAGGCTGGATACTCTGAGGCTGTTTGTTTGATCACACAGCCACTTAGCAGGAAGTACACATAAGGTTCTTTAGCTGTCACTTAGGAATAATACTGTCTACCTCACAGAAATGTTAAACTGAGACAATAAAAACCAAAGCACAAAAATGGTTTCTTGACTCTGAAATGTCTTTAAATAGTAGTTACTTCCTTTAAAAATAGCTTTTCTAGAAAGAGGGGTTAGCTAGAAAAAGTAATCAAACATACATCCAGCTCAGAATGAGTCCTACCCTAGGATAAAGTAACTTAGAAGCCTGGGTAATACCTTTCAATCCCTTGTAAACTTCTATTCCTCTGCCCTACTTTTCCCTTTGCTCTCCTATCAACCCAAATAGATATGTTATAAAGGTAGTACAGGAGCTTAAAAATCCAACCTCTGGTTCTCATGTTCACTCTAGGCTTCTTCCTCTTCCACAAAGAATATACCACTGTAGAAAAATCTCACCCTTCCTGCTAGTTATATGACTGGGTTGTAGTTTTGTTTCATGCTAGGCCACCTGTACACAAGGTCACACACAACCCCCTCTTATACCCAATTTCAACCTCAGTGGCAATATTTCTGCCCTGGATTTGTTGCTATTAGCACAAAGGTTTTGTTTTTTATTTTTGAAAAAGACTACTTTACTGGTGGCAGTTAGTACAATTCAAATATTGATCTTCAAAGAAGGGATTATTTATCAGACTAAGAGTCCATAGAGAGCTGAATGAAACTGAATTAAGTCACTGCTATGACTGGTCAATCCTGTTTCTTGGGAAATGAAACCATAGCCAGCTGATGATGCATGGCATATGCTGCTTCACCAATTGAGAACCATGGTGGCTCTATACAGGAGGCCATCGGCTTCACCACCCTTTAGATGCCAAGAATTCCATTCTCCTCCTGAAACAGCTATTGTTTTCTGGAGCTTCATTTTCAAAATGCCTGTGTGAAGCAATGCTCATGGTCCTCTGGGCAATCTGGCATTGCCAGCAGATTCTGCAGCATCTTGGCTCAGTTAATGCTCACCAACCCTGACAACTCCCCAAGGGTTTTATTTTGAAAAATCTACTTCTTGCTAATAAGACACAACTTCCAGAAAAGGTGCTGACTCCCATGAAGGGCAAGCAGAGCCAAAAAACAAGTACTATGCAAGTAAAAACTGCTTTCTAATCAAGATTTTACAAATATATTTCAAGGAATAGGAAGCTCTGTTATTCCTATGTGTTGCATTCTCTAAAGAACATCAGCTGTAATTAAATGTCCTTTCAGTGGAGAAATTTTTCACTGCTCTAAGTCAAAGCAGTATATACTTTTAACAAATGATTTTATCCTGAGCTATTTAACTATCCAAGACCATATTCCTTAGTGTATTTCTTCTGATCTGCTAGGTAGCACTGAGTACACAGGGACTATCTGGCGTCAACTGCTGAAGTGCTTTATTAGGACCTTTGTAAGTCACTATTTTAAGCTTTTTGGTTGAAAGACATTAAGACAAATTTCATGACTTTTAAAAACTTACTTTCTGGACATTGAACGGAGAATCTTTCGACTTTTACTCAAGTTTTCACTTGTGTTTACCAGCTGAAAAGAGAAAATAGTGATTATTTCCTTTCAAAAGTACATTCTGTAAATTTTAATATCCCTAGATTAACAGTGGGCATTAAGGGATATATGTTGAAAAATTCCAAGAAATCAAGCCAATTTAAATGATGGCCTTCAAGTATAAGTAGAACCTGGAAAGGACAAGATATTTTAGTATTCATCAAGTAGGCTTACGAATCATTATATTCCTAGGTTGCTGCCGGGGATGGACTCCTGAGACTGAGCTAATCTTTCACTATGGCTACTCCAAAAGGAAAGCCTTCAAGTATAGCCAGCAGATTAGACAGCCAGTGACTGCAGAGGAACTTAAGATCTGAATTTCATCAGCCAGATTTCAGGACAGCCTCTTGAGGTGGCATTTGCTTTTTGTTTTTGTTTTGAGACAGAGTGTTGCACTGTCACCTGGGCTGGGGTGCAATGGTGCAATCTCAGCTCACTGCAACCTCTGCCTCCCAGGTTCAAGTGATTCTCCTGCCTCAGCCTCCCAAATATCTAGGATTACAGGTGCCTGCCACCACGCCTGGCTCATTTTTTGTATTTTAATTTTTTTAGTAGAAACAGGGGTTTCACTATGTTGGCTAGGCTGGTCTACAACTCCTGACCTCGTGATCTGCCTGCCTTGGCCTCCCAAAGGGCTGGGATTACAGGCATGAGCCACCATGCCTGGTGGCATTTGTTTTTGTAGGTTAGTGTGTTACTGCTTTTGGGATCTGGTTATCTTTTTTCTTTACCCTCTTAAGAGACAGTTACATTGAACTGTGAAAGGAATTAACCTCCATGGAACTTTCAACTGCCTGCTCCTAATCTGGACAGCTGGAGGATGTTTCATCTCCAGCAGATGTCCACCTGCCATCTGTTCCCATTCCCCAGTGGCCTTGGTAAGCTGATCTCTCAGTTCATTCCTTGGCTTTTATTTATTTGAGACAGGGTCTTGCTCCATCACTTAGACTGGAGTGCACTGCTGCAGTCGCACCTCACTGCAGCCTCAACCTCCTAGGCGCAAGCAATACTCCCAACCTCAGTTTCCCAAGTAGCTGGGATCACAGTTGTGTGCCACCACACCCTACTTTTTTTTATTTTTAGTAGAGATGAGGTTTCACCATGTTGCCCAGGCTGGTTTCAAACTCCTGGGCTCAAGCCATCCTCCCACCTCAGCATCCCAAAGTACTAGGATTACAGGCATGAGCCTGGCCTCCTGGACTCTTAAATTCAACCAATCTACTTGGTATGTTCAAAAACCAGAACCCCCATAATCTGTAAACAAGTTACATTCTCCATAGCTTGCCTTGAATTTAGTACTTTATTGTGAATTTTCACTGAAGAGGGAAGGGCATTACTCTGACTTAATGGAGAATTATAGCTATTAAGATCTACTCAAATCTTCATACTGAGCTAGTATTTCCTGTCCAAATCTTGGTCATAGTATGTTTTTCAATTTGATTTGCCTTCTGCTACTAAGAATACAGCATTCTATTGGCAAACTGTACTAATTTAAAAATTCCAGCCAGACACAGTGGCTGTAATCCAAGTTTTGGGAGGCCAAAGTGGAATGATTACTTGAGCCCAGGAATTCAAGAGCAACCTAGGCAACACAGTGAGACCCGGTCTTTACAAAAAATTACAATTAGCCAGGCACATGGCACATGCCTGTAGTCCCAGCTACACACAAGGATCACTTGAGCCCAGGAGTCTGAAGGTACTGTAAGCTATAATTGCACTGCTGCACTTCAGCCTGGGTGACAGAGCAAGACCCTGTCTCTAAAAAACTAAAAAATTCCTATGAAGGTTAACTATTTACGGAAAGGAAAAAATAAATGAGTTCTTTTTCAGAGTCTCTCGGAGTGACAGCAAACTAGAGGTCCCTGATATAGTCATCACTTGGTTTAAATATTTGTTTTCTTTCCACAATGATCCAGCTTACCTTCCTGGATAATCCTGAGAGATTTTTTTCCCTATTACTTTTTTTTTTAATATTATGTAATAGTAAAGAGTTATAGTCCAGAATTGAACCATAATTTATAAATCTATAAACCGCCTATAAACAGTGGTACTATTTTATGAAATCTGGAAAATAGCCTCAACTCTAAATGACAGGGTGTAAGTAGATGATGTTTTCATAAGAACAGCAGAATACTGTACTAGATGTATGAGATGAGAAATTAAAATCTCATATTGGCAGCTTTTAATTCCTGTAATCTTTTAAGTTCAGAAATCAGGTTCCCTCTGTCTTTTTTTCCTTTCATTGAAGCAAAAATTTCCAATGATGTCTAAATCTTAGGGGTAAAATTACTTCTAAGAGAGATCTCTCAGCCAAGCAAACTAAAAATTGAGAAAAGCAGCGGGTGCAGTGGCTCATGCCTGTAATCGTAGCACTCTGGGAGGCTGACCCGGGTGGATCACCTGAGATCAGGAGTTCAAGACCAGCCTGGCCAACATGGTGAAACGCCATCACTACTAAAAATACAAAACTTGCCTGGGTGTGGTGGCACATGCCTGTAATCCCAGCTACTCGGGAGGGTGAGGCAGGAGAATCGCTTGAACCCAGGATGCAGAGGTTGCAGTGAGCGGAGCGCACCACTGCACCCCAGCCTGGGCAACAGAGCGAGACCCCATCTCAAAAAATATAAATAAATAAATAAAAATTGAGAGAAGCATAAGGACCTAAAAAAGACTATTCCCTGAATTCAGAACTGCCGTAGCTTTTGGCCTTAGTATGGTTTCCAGGTGCAGTGGCCCCTCAATTTCCCCAAACTTGCCCTTTTCCCTGTCTGCCCAGACTTACTCTATTCTTTGTGCGTTCTAACTGGTCTCGTTGTTCCCCCAGCTCTTCTATGATTTCTGAGCCAATCTGGTCAGTCTCCGTGGCAATCCGATGAGAACGTTCAATACTTTGGGTGGCCCGGTTCAGGCTTTCAGTGCCTTGTAGAAGCATTGCCCTTTGAGACTGCAGCCGATTCTGAAAGGAGTATGGAAGACAAATGTTAAGACTTTTTCCATTATAAATTCATTGCCAGCATATTCCTCATGACCTTCCCCATGTAAGAAGGGATACAGTAAGCAATAATTTTCATTCATTTTAAGACAGAACCATAGCTAATGATTCTTTTCAAGGTTGCAGACTAAAGCAGAACCGGAAATCCAATCAATAGGATCACAATACTCCACTGCCTTTTATACTTACCGCGAGGCAAGGAAAGATGGATTAAAAATACTGGAGCACTTTCCCTGTGTTTGTGATGAATCTGAACTGGTCCATGTGTTTCCTGGACTATCAACTTCTGAAAGGTGGCAGCCCAGATGTGGCAGGTGCAGAAGCTACCTGATAATGCATATAGCCTGTAACTTTGATAATAATACCAGCAAACCAACTAACCTCTGCAGCCCTAGAAAAAAATTAATTCACTGAAGATTCCCACTTGACTGGTACTGAGGATTGAGGGATCATGAATGAGCTATTCTTTTCTTCATTTTAAGCCTCCAGCACCTGGTATTTCCAGGCGGTCTCCCATCCAAGTACTAACCAGGCCTTACCTTCTGAGATAGGGTATGTTCAGGATGGAATTGCCTAGATGAATAAATTATTCTTTTTCAGCATGTAAAGAAATCATTTAGAAGTCTGTGACACTATCACATTCTGGAAAAAATGTGGTTCACTCCTGATGAGCCCCACGAAGAACTTCACCTGAGGTCAAACAAAAAATCCTGAGCTGCCACACTGGGGGTGATCTGATCTCGGGGAAATTAGTATCTGGGGCTTGAGCAAGCTTCCCCAGCTGCCCTAATTTCTCAAGTGCCCTAATTTTCTAAATCCTCACCAAAGTTTTACTCCACCTGTAATCCTAAACACAGACAGCATGAAGACAAAAGTAGCCTTTGTCAGGCCAGAATTAACTACCACTGACAGAAATGGCAGTATCTCTAAGTTAGCTGTTCAAAGCACACACACACACACACACAATCAATCAAAAGGTACCCAGCTCACAGAGGCTTATTACAGAGCAGGTGACCACTGGCAGTAGGATCATCAAGATGCCAAAAGATTGGCTCTCAGACCAGAAGTAGCAAGAAGCAGCATTTTCTTTTTTCTTGAGATGAAGTCTCACTGTCATGCAGGCTGGAGTGCAGTGGCATGATCTTGGCTCACTGCAGCGTCTGCCTCAGCCTCTCAAGTGGCTGGGATTACAGGCACCCGCCAACATGCCTGGCTAATTTTGTATTTTTAGTAGAGACAGAGTTTCACCATGTTGGCCAGGCTGGTCTCGAACTCCTGATCTCAGGTGATCTGCCAGCCTCGGCCTCCCAAAGTGCTGGGAGCCACCATGTCAGGTGCTCTGTTGCATTTTCACTTAATAAATAGCATATAGACCAGCAGATGAGGAAATCACTAAATGAGGTTCAAATTCAACCAGCAGAATCACATTCTACCTGCCTGCCCTTTTCCAGCCTCCCTTTTCAAGTGATCTGTCAGCTTCTAATCTGTGATGATCCCTCATGCATCCATGCGAAAATTTTAAATATATCATCCTCAAAATGTCTAGTTTTGCATCAGCAATGTGAAGCCAATATCATTTTGAATGTCTCTTAAACTATAATCAGGATGCATCATGAAACAGGAGTTGTTTGTTTAAAATTGTAGTATGAGCCTTTCTACCTCTGTTCAGTCTGCACTGGTGGGCCCCTTTCCATCTCTCTTCCATGTTACTTGCCAGGCAAGTCCTACTTTGTGTTGTGTTTATGGAAGATAGACCAAATGCAGCACATTTAACCTTTCAGATGTTTTATTCCTTTAACGATCTAGCTTCTTAGATGGTTTCAGAATACAGATGTTCAATTAGTCCAATCTTATCAATTAGAATCCTGAAAACTAGAGATGCAGTCTGGCTCACTTTCCATTACCACAGAATAAAATGATAAAAAGCTCCTTCTCGAGAAGCGCCCTGCATTGGCTACAGTATCTTAGTTGCTGGGCCATCTCGACATTAAGGTAAAGGAAAGCTTGGATTGATTTTGAAACAATACTCTGCTAAATTAGAAACCTAATGGAATTTTCCAGGCATACTTGAGAAAGTGATTCTAAAATTTATATCAAAGAATAAAAAAGATCAAGAAGAAATTAGGTCAATGGGTCAGAACCCAGAATCCAGATAAAATAAGTAACACTTATATACTACTATATACAAAGCACTGTTTTTATTATAAGACTGTATTATATTAAGGATAAAAAGAAATCTAAATATGCATATGATTCGAAAGGGCTACATTAAATAGAGCATATACCAAGGAGATAACAGGAGCTGGACGCAGAAAAGAAGATACGGGTGAAAAAAATGTTTTCCAGTATACACTGAAAACATGAAATAATCCAACAATATGGTTAATTTTTGTACCACAGGCCCTTAAGGAAAAAAAAGGCAGCTAAAACTTACCATATGCTCATTTTCTACAGCATATATGCCATACTTCATATCTCCTCGGCCTCCAGGCGTGGCTGTCAAAGGTGTGCTTCTCACCTCCCGATGGAGTTTGGCAAGGTCCTTCCGGTAGTTTCGAAGCTTAGACATCATGGGGTTACGGAAAGAGAGGGGTGCATAACGTAGCTCCTCCTCCATCTCTGCCAGCTGGGAAGGCAGAAAATAGTGAGTAGATGGCCTGGTTCTTCCCTCACTCATTTGGAAATATGCCTAGTTTGGATTAATCAAACTACTTATTTATTTGGACTACACCAAGTAAATAATTCAATCATATGCTACATAAGGCGGGACCATTTCTGGAATGTTCCTCTCAATCCAAATGCCTAGCACAGTGCCCAGCAAGTACAGAGCAGGCATTCAAAATATATGAACTGAATGAACAGAGAGACAGAAGTACTTTATAGCTTACTAAACATGTTTCTATACATTCTCCATTTAATCCTCACAACAAATCAGTAAGGTAGCAAATGCTCCATTTCATATATGATTTAGAGAAACCTGCTCAAGATTACACAAAAAGGAGTCCGGGCCAGGCATAGTGGCTCCCGCTTGTAATCCTAGCCCTTTGGGAGGCCTAGGCAGGAGGATCATTTGAGCACAGCCTGGGCAACATAGCAAGACCTCATCTCTATAAAAATAAAATTAAAAAGGAGTCAGGATTCAAAATTTTCAAATTCTTGGCTCTCTTCAATATACAGTTGAACACTACCATCAAGAAGTGCTTTGAAGTCTACTGTACTAAAAACTTTTCCTGCTCCTCTTTCTGAAAATCAATCACGTTTGTCTCCATGTCAAAGACAACCAGGGACCCACCCCAGAGCAGGTGCTTTAGAGGAATCAAGACTTCCATTCTTCTAGGATAAGTAAAATGTAACACCTGGGAATGTTCACAAGAGGCCCTAAATTATTTTCATCTGCCTGGAATGGTCAAGGTAGGATTATTACTTTTGTTGAGTTCGAAGAAAACAAGTATCTGAGCACCAAACAAATCAGTAGTAGCTAGAAGATTTTTAAAATGGTACCAAAATGTCAATCAAAACAGGAGAATGGCTACAAACAGGTATCATGGATATGCCCAGCTGTACACAGGTATTAAGAAAAATTCCTAGTACTCCCATTAGGAAGAAGATAGTTTCCACAGTCTGGTAGCCTGGTACTTCTAGCACATGCAAAACAGAGAAAAGGATGCAGATGTGCTGCTTCTTCTCAATTGGGAAATTGAGAAGTTGATCTTCAACAGGCAAGAAGGCAGTTTGCTGGCCAAAGAGAATTTTTTCTCCATCTGCTCTGGGATGGCAAAAGCAGGGGCAACTATTTCTGCAGAGTTCTAGCAGGGACCAGGATTTTGGCCCCAGTCTTAATGGGTTTGCTAGAGTATAATGAAATGGAGTCAAAGGACTCTTGCTTCCATAGAGCTGGAGGAAAAAAAACAATTTTTTTTTTTTTTTTTTTTAAAGAAAAGCCACAGGTGAAGAGAAGCAACTTCTGACAAACTTTAGGTACCAACTGAAGCTCATGCATGTCTTGCCTTAGGTCCCAAGTCTAGCTACTATGCTGTCTTTTAAGACAGAAAGGGATATCGTTAGAATCACCTCTGAGCTACATTTTCTGTGACAGTAAGTTTCACAAAGAACAGTTTCTTTTTTTTTTTTTTTTGAGGCAGGGTCTTGCTCTGTCACCCAGACTGGAGTGCAGTGGTGTGATCATGGCTAACTGCATGCTCGACCTCCCAGGCTAAAGTGATCCTCCCACCTCAGCCTCCTGAGTAGCTGGGTCCCGAGGCATGCACCACCAAACCTGGGTAATTTTTTTTTTTTAGAACAGGTGGGGGTCTCCCTATGTTGCCCAAGCTGGTCTTGAACTTCTGGCCTCAAGTGATCCTCCCACCCTGGCATCTCAAAGTGTTGGTATTATAGGTGTGAGCCACCACACTGGCCAGTAACCTATCTTAATGACCAGCTCTTAAAAAGAGATTTTAAAAGACTGCTTGGGTAAGGGTATGAGAATGCCCTTACTACTCACATCAGTAATATATTATCAAAGACTCATATTTCAGGAGTGTCTTCAGGTTTTACCCATTTGTGTTTGTCAAATCCACTTAATACACATCCCCATCAATTGGCTTCATTTAGTAAAAAACAGTCAAAATCAAGATCAACAGACAGGAACGGTTAATCTGTGATCAGTTCATAGCATTACTTCTGGAAAAGAGGAAGACCAGTTAGAAGAAACAAAATTTGTTCGCTCTCACCGTTTCATTTGCTTCCTGTTGTTTTTCATCAAAATCCCTCATCAACTTCTTCTTCTCTTCTAGAAAAGACAGATAAGTTTCAAATGCTTATTACTATTTCCACGCATTTGTAAAGGCCATTCCCTCTGCTTAGAATAAGCTTCTTATTCCTCCCCTAGTGAGAGTAGTACTCAGTCATCTTAAACAGGCATTTAAAAATGTATACAGGCCGGGCTTGGTGGCTTACACCTGTCATCCCAGCACTTTGGGAGGCCGAGGCAGGTGGATCACTTGAGGTCAGGAGTTTGAGACCAGCCTGGCCAACATGGTGAAACCTCACCTCTGCTAAAAATACAAAAATTAGCCAGGTGTATGGTGGCACATGCCTGTAATCCCAGCCACTTGGGAGGCTGAAGCAGGAGAATTGCTTGAACCCAGGAGGTTGAGGCTCAGTGAGCCGAGATTGCGCCACTACACTCTAGCCTGGGTAACACAGCAAGACTCTGTCTCAAATAAACAAACAAACAAACAAACAAATAAATAAATAAATAAAATGTATAGGAACTTATCACAATGACCGAGGAGGAGGAAAGAGAAAAAAGTATTTTTTTTTTTAATTTTTGTATTTTTAGTAGAGACGGGGTTTCACCACGTTGGCCAGCCTGGTCTTGGAACTCCTAACCTCAGGTAATCCACCCACCTCAGTCCCCAAAAGTGCTGGGATTACAGGCATGAGCCACCATGGCTGGCTGAGTAAAAAATTATTCTTATTGCCATTTAGTACTCAGGGAACAAGAATACCCATATTTCGGACAGCCCTGCATAATTACTTGGTCCCCAAAGCCAACAGCATCCCTCCAAGAAATACTATAGGTTTAAGTTAATCATTCTCAACCTTTTCTCTTCCCTCATCCTAAGGGATTAGGCACACTTTTACCAGTAAGAATGTTTACCAATAGTGACTCTCTGAAACCCTCCACCTTCACGCCCACAGTGAGCCACTTCCATGCTAACTCATATCTACTACTTTTCTGCAAAACAAATTAAAAAATCTACCTACTCTGCTTGCTGGGAGGCTGCCTGGTACGGTGCCTGTTTTTCTCTGGGCATGGCACTGGTAATGACTCGCACAATGAGAATGTTATTCATTCCCCTTTCAGCTCCCTTTCAGCCTTTCCCAGTCAATCACTTTGGTGAGTGTATCTTTAATACCTAAAAATTACTAATCTCCCCTTTGAACAAAAATAGAACAGGCTTCAGCTTTAAACAACAACATCTAACTAAAACAGTATTGTCTTCATTGTATTTTCTGATCACTTATATTACAGGTCTTCCACCTAAAATTATACCAAGTTTCATTTTTAAGTAACTTTGTTTTAAATAAATATATTTGAGATGAAATAAGCTGACATAAAAAATGATTAAGTAACGGTAACGGAACTTGGATGTGGCAAAAATTATGAAGTTGGTACCAGAATGCTGGTAAACACTTGTATGGGGAAAATCCCTGGTTATCAGGGGGGTGAGGTTCTGGTGCCCAGTTGGGACCTGCCTCAGCATGTAAGCTTGGATAATTTCCTTCATTTCTTTGGGACCTGACCTCTTCCTTCATTGACTAGAAAATGAGGAAGTAGGTCATCCCCTAATAACTAACAAGCAAAAATTAGCGCCGTTTATGAGGTGCTTGATTTTAAAAAAATTTATACATCCAAATGAATGTTCTTCCTGGAAATCTATACACAATCTACTTATCACCAGAAAGTTACCATCATTTACAATGTTTTCTTCTTTTTTTTTTTTTTTTTTCCAGAGACAGAGTCTCGCTTGTCACCCAGGCTAGAGTGCAGTGGTGCAATCTCGGTTCATTGCAACCTCTGCCTTTTTGAACGCGTCTTTTGGAATTACCTTCACAGACTGGGGATATAGTCTTTGTTTCTTTTTTTAAATTGTGGCAAAATATATGTCACATAAAATTGACCATTTTGAAGTGTGTATCTTAGTGGCATTTAAGTATATTCACACTGTTGTGGAGCCATCACCACTAACTGTTCATCATCTTAGACTGAAATTCCATACCCATTAAACACCTCCCCATTCTATGAATTTGACTATTCCAGGTACACCATTAAGTGGAATCATACAATATTTGTCCTTTGTGTTTAGCTTATATCACTTAGCATAAAGTCAAGGTTCATTTATACTGTATGGTCTTTTAAAGCTATGTATTTTTCTTTTATTTATTTTTTTTTTTTTGAGATGGAGTATCACTCTGTCGCCAGGCTGGAGTGCAATGGCAGAATCTTGGCTCACTGCAACCTCTGACTCCCTGGTTCAAGCAATTCTCTTGCCTCAGCCTCCTGAGTAGCTGGGGTTACAGGCCCATGCCAACACAGCCAGTTAATTTTTGTATTTTTAGTAGAGACGGGGTTTCACCATGTTGGCCAGAATGGTCTTGATCTCCTGACCTTGTGATCTGCCCACCTCAACCTCCCAAAGTGCTGGGATTACAGGTGTTAGTTATCGCGCCCAGCCACAGCTTATGTATTTTTCAATGTGACTCCTAAATACAAGCCAGCACTTCCACCAACTAAAGGAAGAGCAATCTTTTCCGCTGCAAAAGACAACAGATGAGCTGGGCTTATGGAGAAATGGCATGTGGGTATTCAGTTGCTGTCCTGAGATTTTCTTAGATGATTTGTCTACTCTGATTTTCATCTTAAGACCTGACTTTTTTTTGAGACTGTGTCTCACTCCGTTGCCCAGGCTGGAGTGCAGTGTCATCATCTCAGCTCACTGCAACCTCCAACTCCCGGGTTCAAGCAATTCTTGTGCCTCAGCCTCCTGAGTGGTGGGATTATAGGAGTGCGCCACCACACCCAGCTAATTTTTCTATTTTTTGGTAGAGACAGGGTTTCACCATGTTGGCCAGGCTGGCCTTTTGTGATCTGCCCACTTTAGCCTCCCAAAGTGCTGGGATAACAGGCGTGAGCCACTGCACCCGGCCACACGCTGACTTTTGAACCCAATCCTACATAAGATGTAATGTCACTGTAATGCTTTCTATAGATTTACATTTTGTTAATCACAACAGCATCTGTCAGTTGTATCTTTT